CACCCCTCCAGCCCTGCCTGACCCACACTCACGCAGAGGGAAGGCAGTGGTGCCTGAGGTAAGGCTGTTGAGGGCCACGCCGTATGGGGGGACACTCTGGTTCAGGTATAGCAGCGAGTTGACTGCAAAGACCACTACCCCACCTGGAGGAGGACAGGCTGGTGGGCAGGGCCCAGGCGCTCCACACTACCTCCCCCAACCCGCCAGGCTCTCACCTATGGGCTTGGGCACCGCCAGGGCCTGGGTGCAGTCGAAGGGCAGGCTGGTGAGGGACCAGATGACGGGGTGGACCTTCTGGGTGATGTTCAGTGAAATGGCCACGATGGAGCACGTGTCCTGCCGCACGGCCACCCGCCTGGGACAGCAGATGGGTCAGCCAGGGGTCCCTGCCCGCCCCCGCCCGCCCCCCCAGGGCCACTGCAGAGGGGCCTCACCCGGGCCACGTCTGGTTGGGCTCAAACAAGATGAGCAGGGTGGGCTCGTAGTAGCCGTGCAGGAACTGCAGGTCGACGATGTTGAGCAGCTTCTCGTCCAGTGCCCGGACGTCAATGATGTAGCTGGGCAGGAAGCTGGACCTCTGCCTGGGGGGTGAGGGCTTCAGCGGGTGGAGGGTGGAAGGTGGAGGGCAGGTGGGGCTTGGCCCCCCAAGCGCCCCGGCACTCACCCCTCGCCCATGAGCCCCTCGTGCTCCTCGGCCAGGCTCTCCCTGCGGAAGGGCAGCACGACCAGCCGCGTGCCGTAGATGAGCATGGCCGCGCAACGTCCGTCAGGGTCCACACGCACCCGCGGCGTGTGCACGTTCTGCACGAACCCGTCCTGGGGGTGGAGAGCCATCAGGCAGGCCATGGGGCCAGTGGGAGGCCTCGAGGGAAACAAGGGGGTGGGCGAGGGCAGGGCACTGGGGGAGGGAGAGGGGCCGGACGGGGTGGGGCACAGCCTGCCTACCCGCAGCTCCGGCTCCTCAAAGTAGTGCAGAGACAGTGTCTTCAGGTCGTGGGTGCCCGGGTCGTACTCCACCACAGACAGCTGGGGACGGCAGGTGAGAGCTTCGACCCGCCTCTGAGCTCTGCCTGGCCTGTTGACCCCCGCCCACCGCGTGCCCAGGACCCCCACCAAGCCCACCGCCCACCTTGGCATCTTTGAAGCTCAGCAGCAGGGCATCCCGCTTGGCGCCTGCCAGCTGCACGCTGGCCATGGACATGACGTTGCCGAAGAAGGAGAAGGAAGCCACCAGCTCCAGCTTCTCGCGGTGCTCCCTGTGAGCCTTGCCCTCTGGGGGAGAGGTGGGGGGCACAGGTTTGGTTCCCTCGCTGCAGCCGCCCACCATCAGGCATGTGGCCAGCACAGCCGCCCGGGCACTCACCTGTGCTCCTGTCATTCTTGGTCGGGGCCTGGAGGAAGGAGGGGAGGCAGTGAAGAGGCGCTGCTGCACCAGGGGCCCCGCCTCATGGAGGACGAGGAGGAAAGACCACCAGGGCTGCCCCGACTAGACCCTCAGTGTGGTGGGGAGCATGAGGTCTATGGAGAGCAGCGCACACCCAGCCCCACAGGCTCACACCTGGGTCCCCACCCTGGACACAGGCTTCTCCTGAGCCCACCCCATGCGGGGTCAGAGGTGGAGCAGCTGCTCTACGCACCCCTAACCTGCCTGGCTCTGCCCCCACGGAGTGAGACACGGGGCCACAGAACAAGGCGGAGGGTGTAAACGAGGCTAGAGCAATAACGTTCTGTGTCACTTGGGGCAAAAGCGCTCATTTGAGCCAAAACGTCATAAATCAAGGAGGCCTGCTGCATCTCCAATGTAACGAAGGAGGAGATGACACAAAACGTGCAACAAAAACGAAATAAAAACACAGGACTCATACAAAGCGAAGCCGAGGAGGACGACACAGTAAGAAATAAAGGAACACGCCAAAACCGGTGTGGCTCAGTGGATAGAGCGTCGGCCTGCGGACTGAAAGGTCCCAGGTTCGATTCCGGTCAAGGGCATGTACCTGGGTTGCGGGCATTTCCCCAGTGGGGGATGTGCAGGAGGCGGCTGATCGATGTCTCTCTCATCGATGTTTCTGGCTCTCTATCTCTCTCCCTTCCTCTCTGTAAAAAATCAATAAAATATATTAAAAAAAAAAAAGGAAGAAAGAAAGGAACAAAGACACTGAGAGACGGTCATCCAGCCCCAACTACCAGGAACCACATCCCGTGACAAACACCCAACTACTGGACAGAGTGGGTCTGAAGGTAAAAGCATTCGAGTTAAAAAGAGACACTTCATGGCCAGAAGGTCAGTTCACAAGCAAAAGCTACTGAAAAAGTGTAACATGACCCTGAGTCTCAGGAAGCAGCTTTAAGACACAGACACAGACACAGGCAGACACACACACACACACACACACACACACCCTTCGATAATCCTGCTGGGCAAGTGCCCCACCTCGGCCACCTTTAAAATGACCTTGGCCGAAACCGGCCTCCGGACTGAGGGGTCCCAGGTTCGGTTCCGGTCAAGGGCATGTGCCTTGGTTGCGGGCACATCCCCAGTGGGAGATGTGCAGGAGGCGGCTGATAGGCGTTTCTCTCTCATCGATGTTTCTGACTCTCTATCTCTCTCCCTTTCCCTCTGTGAAAAATCGATAAAATATATTTAAAAAAATAAATTAAATTAAATAAAATGACCTTGGATAGTCTTAACTTTTGTCTCTTTCATGTAAATGTGAGCGTCAGATTACAAGTCTAGTGAGAAGCTTATTGCATCTCTGAGATGAAGAGCATCGATGGATGGACAGGAACGGCTTTGTGACGCTCCGAGCCCGGTGTGTGGCCAGGGGCACAGCTGCTCGGGCTCCAGGACCCTGTCCGGGGCCAGGTCCACCGACTTCCTGCCCGCAGGGTACCCTCTGGACAGGGCCGGACAGCAGAGGCCCGGCGCCGCCTCTGCAGTCACGTCTGTCTGTCGAGTCTGTCGGGGACTCTCCTTCGGCCATTTAAGGTGTGAACGGCCTCCTGAGGGCTCGGGGCTGGGCCCTCCGACCCTGCTCTGCTGGCTCCTTCCC